CTCTAAAATTCAAATTCAACTTCCTGTTCTAAGACAAAGACAAGGAAGACTCCATGGGAAATTTTGAACTGCACATCTATATAAAATTTTGAAGAACGCATTTCTTTTTTACTAAAAAGAACTTCCTGTCTTATGTGAATTTTAAGGAATATACAGATACTTACCTTAAGACGCGCATCAAAGAATATTTTTACTTGAACTGAAAGTACCTTATTGTCTTCTTGTCTGTATCCGCTAAAATGAGAGATGAAATGTCCAATAGTACATCTCAGAAATGTTGGCTGCCTGCAGAGAAGTATTGCAAGCTATCGGCCTACTTGCGGTTCACGGAGTGTACCTCCTGGTCTGCTGGAAATCTGCGGGCTTTCTACTCATTCAATTTGGATTGAGTCATGAATTAAACTCAAAGCCAGCTACAGGGCTTATGAATGCCTAAGTCTATACATCCTCTATCTGTTTCTGTGCTGAATCCTATGAAGTCAATGTTTGCATCAGATGTGTCAAAAATGCTCTATTAAACTTTTATGACAGTATACACACATTCCTGTGTGTCCCTGCAACACTGGATCACGGAAGAAAATAAAAGAACTATATAAGACATTCAATTAAAATTGACCTACATTATTTTCACAGGTAGATTTTGTAACAGGAACACCACAGGAAAGTGTCCATACTTTAAAAAAGATAATGTTTCTTTTACAGCTGTTGAGAAACTCCTCTAAAACCAGATTTTTTCAGTATCTAGTATGTTCTTAGTATACTGGATATGGTAGTTATCTATATGTGGGTCAGTGTATCAAAGCCACACTTATGCTTTTGTAATTAAAAGCCATCTGGACCTCCTCTCAGCAGTTTGGTACTTGTTTGATGCCACCCATTTGAGGCAGTTGTACTTTGAATCTCTCCATCTGGAAATATTCCCTTTAAAATAGAACTATTTTCACAACTTGTAGCAAATTATTTGGCGCACCCTGCTGCTGCAAAGCAGGGCCAGCTACACCTAGATATTCCTGACAGATTTTTGTCTAACTTGTTCTGAGAAACACCAATCTCTCTATAAAATATATTCCAGGGCTTTAAAACCTTTAGAGCCCTTCATCACAGTGTCCAATCTCAGTCTCCCTTGCTGCAATGTGAATAATTTTTTAATGTTGTTTATGTTGGATATGGCGGTGATTCATCAATGTAGAATTACCAAATTCAGGCATTTAGAAATCATGAGGAAAGTTTTAGAATTCATATGGTAGTTATGAAGAAGTACAACGTGAGTCTTTTTCTGCCATCCAGCTTCTGACTGTTGCTTACTAATCCTTCTCCTCAACTGTGCTGAGAAAGCTAGGGTTTGCATGGCACTTGCATGTGGTTTAAAGACAATGGGAGATTAGCACTGTCCCCTGATACATTTTGAGAAATGACAGGAAATAGAAAAACCTTTCTTGATCATTGAGTCATTTTATAATGGTCTGGAAAAGGATTTTACCTCTGCAGAATATGCCTTAGGGAATAATATTTTTTAATATTTTAATGTCTTTGTGGAAATAAGAGACATCAGACAGCTGAATCTTTTCTAGACATCATGTGTCCTGGTGGTAGCATGTTTGTGCTTTTGCAGTGAGAAGAAAATCTTCTAATTTAGATGATCAAATTCTTGACGGTTTAATTTGCAGCCACAAACAAATGATTAAAGCAAAGTGTGTATGCAATATCAAAAACAATTTTTAATTCAAGGCAAAGTCTCAAGTTGTGCTGCTTCAGTAACAACGTTTTACACTACGGATTTTGCTTTGCCCCAGTCTCTCGATGGTCAGTGGGCAAGAGCTTCTTTGATTCCTTTATTATCTTGGGTATTAGCAGAAATCAGCAGCTCACTTTATCAATGGAGAACCTGGCTGCTTTGTGCAGGAAATGTTTCAAGTGCAGGCAGTGGTGTTCTTAGAGGTGAACAAGGATGCTAACGATGCTAGATGCTAGATGCTAACTAGATGCTAACAAAGATGCTTCAGATGCTAACTTTTAATTTGTTCTGTACTGCCAGAATCTTCCCTTGTTTTATTTTGAAATTTATCCAAGGCTTTCTCTCGCTGCTTAAGGACTGTGTCATAATACTGGTGTTTTCCTTTGAAAAAGGAAAGGTATCCTTTCATTTGAGGCTACTTGTCTACCAATTTAGTGCATGCACATGACTGGAGGTTTATCATTGTTTCTAATGAGGCAGACTAAGTCTCCTTTGATATGATTTAACAAAGGACTGTATTCTGGGCAAAGCCAGACTGAACAGCAACTTGTTTTTAAAAACATGGTTTAATAAAACAGATACTGTTCTACATTTATTGCAAATGAATCCTTTTATCTTGTACTTTTGGTTTGTACCATAATCAAATCACAGAATTTAGAGAAACTTGCAACAAATAGGAAATGAATTCCTTTATTTCCATGCAGTGAAACAAGTCAGTTACATATATAGCTATAAGAGGAACTCTGTTAAATATTTCTGACCCTTTCATCATGATGCTTTATTCCTAGCAATACATGATTTTATGATTCTTTTTCTGTCAATCTGAATATTTGAGTGCTGTTTTCCTGTCTATAGCTTTTTGGGATGCTCAGGACTTCTCACTTTCCTTGATCCTAAGTTTTCTCATAGAGTGATGACAACTGCTGGGATGAATATCTACTCTGTTTTTTTTGATAAAGTGTCTAACTGCTGCTTTAAATCTATCCTGAAACATCTGGGGGGGTGCTAACTGCAGTTGTGCATTCTGTGTCAGCATTGTAAGAAAACCATCCCTGTTCCCCATCAGTTGCTTAACTAGCTGCTCCAGTAGAGTCTTCCTGTGTATTCATTTATATATGACAAAACACATTAAGATCAACATTTTTACATACCTTTAGGGTAGCTATTACTAACAGAAAACAAAAGCCTTTAACACAGTTAATATAAACAAATTAACTTTTATTTTAGAGATAAGCAAGGCAACCTTTGAGCTGTTAAAATTAAACAATATTCAAAAGATCCCTTTTTGTTCCCTGTTCTGAACTTCCCATCTTGTTCTTAAGCAAGTACAATATATTTTCCTTTAAAGAGAGAATCAAACAAGCTGTGATATTTCTGCAAAACTGTTATTAATATTTTGCCAAAATTATGACATGAATAAGAAACAGCATTTGTACTAGCAAAGAGGAAAAGAAAATTCAGAAAAAGAAGTTCTAACTCTGCCATCTCTTGACCTCTTGTTCAGATGAGTAAAGATAAATTATTTATGAGGTATCAAAATTAGGAATCTGCCTACACTGAAACATCTTTCAGCCTAAACCAGACTGTGCCAGTCAAGGTCATAGCTGTGTGAGTTCTTTCCTCTTACCACATGAACCATGGAATTCACAGAACTTACAATACATGGATGTACATCAGCTAAACCATTTCTGGGAATACTCAGATTTGTCTTAGTTCAGTAATGAGCTGTTGTGATTCAGATATAAGATGTCTCATGTCATTACATTCTACTGATACATGTTGGGAACCATTACCGATCTTTTGATGGTCAAACTAAGCAATTGTGCAACAGGTATTACAAAAATGAGGTAACAGAAGTGGAGTCCAACTCAGAGGCTTTTTTTCTTATCCTGGATCCTTTCTAAGGATTTATCTGAAGATACATATGAAGAGAAATATTAATTGTAAGTGTAAAGCAATTGTAGGCTTATGAAATTTCTTGTTATCAAGTCATCTGGAATTTCTATCTTCAGCGTGATGCTAAAAAGATGTATCAGTTCTAGGAAAATCTGATTTTAATAAAAAACTGAGTTCTTTAAATCATCAAGTACCATAAAATGTTTTCTTCTGGAAAGGAGTCATAGGCCACCTCAAACAGTTCAAATACTATAGAATTTGCATACACTACCACTCTGCTCAGTGACAGCTGCACTGTGGTAAGATTACAGTAAGGGTGTTTAAAATGAACCCAGCAGATTTAAATCCTTCATTTGCTACCATTACACCAGTAGATGCTGAGGAACCTGGTCTTGTTCTGCCACTGCTACCACTAACAATAGAGAGGAAGGAAGTGTGGTGCTGAGATCCCTGAACTAGTTGGGGGCAAGCCAGCTTTGATTTGAATGCCTTCGTAGCTTGGCATAGTGATTAGGCTAATAAGACTAGCTGAAATTCAGGGCTCATTAGCTCTGATGTAGTGCTAGGGTCATGCAGCTATGTGATCTCAGTCCCAAGATGGTAGGTCTGCCATCCACCTTGTGCTTGTTTCACTCTGCACCGTGCTCTGTTTTGCACTGAGAGGCCATATTAGTTTGGATCTGTCTAGTTAAGTTCTTAAGTTTAAAATAAACCTGACTAATTGAAGGTCCCTGTTCATACTTGGCATATGTGAGTGACTGACATTCAGGTAGCCGGACTATGCTTTGGCTTAAGAATGACTTGTTCTAAAATTTATGAAGCTGCCAGGCTTTAAGAAAATGTTTAGAACTAATGTTTCTGTGGATACTTGTAAATAATACAGGATTGCTTTTGCTGGTGTGCACCCAACAACATTTTGATTTGCAAAGCATTGTCTGTCTCAATACCAGGCCAGTAGTGATCACTGACTGTTAGCAGTTCTGTCTCCTAGCACAATCGATACTATTTTTACAATGATTTAATTACATAAATTCCTGCAAAGGTCCCTCAGCAAACATCACCTTGTGTAATGCATATCCTAACTAGTAAAAATTTTCACGTTCTTATTGGATAAATGATTTCCTGAATCTCTCTAAAGTTTTTGCTTATACAGCTCCTCTGTCCTCTTCTAGAGATAACGGGTAAAAAAACTCTAGAAGTGACCTAGGTATGAATGTGCAAAAAACATATGGACCCTTTCAGGTGAGAAGAATTATACATATGTGAATAATGTGGTTGATGCAACTTGAAAACGGTATTTAGGAAAATTGTGTGTGAAGATCAGATTCATGTGCTGATTTTGAGTAAAGGCTTTTACTTTGTGTTTCAGTGGCTGTTCCCTCACCAGTGCCAGCTTGTGAACCCGAGCCCAAAGCAAACGGGCATTACACATCTCCACGACTCTCTGTTTCCTCCCGAGCAATGGTTGTCGCTACCATGGAAGCACCTTCTCAGGGCCTGCAGACAGTCATGAAGTGGAAAACGGTGGTGGCCATCTTTGTTGTGGTTGTGGTATACCTGGTGGCTGGAGGACTCGTGTTCCGTGCCCTGGAGCAGCCCTTCGAGAGCAGGCAGAAGAATACCATCGCGCTGGAGAAGGCAGACTTTCTTCGGGAGCATGTTTGTGTAACCCAGCTAGAGCTGGAGACACTGATTCAGGTAGGGCATATGAAGATAACAGTATTTCTCAGACATCAGTGTGAACAGTATGGCAGTTTTCTGATCAGCTTTACAGATGACGTAAATAGAAATTGTCTTCGCTAGAATAATTAAAAATGTGTGCAAAGAAAATTGGAACTTAATATTTGGTACACATTTTTTGTGAGAGGTGACAAATTTTCAAAATATCTCTGTAAGTTTTCAAATGATATGAAGTCTTATTTCTCCAACATTAAACACAGCAACAAAGAGAGGCAACAGAATATGGTAGGTGGGAATTATGAAATACATATTCTGTCAAGAATTTTGAAGTGACAGGCACAGTAACTTATGGGTTTGCTGTTGAGAATATTAGGTAAATGAATGATTATGAAAGTATACAATTAAAAATAAAAAGTAATACTCATTTAAGAACTACAGATTTTTTTTAGTTCAGTTTAATATGAAAAGTTTTGAATAAATTTTGAAGTAAATAAGTACTAAATATCTAGGATGAAATAACATGCAATACAGGTCTGTCAAAGGTAGAGTTACATTTCATTGTTTAACATTCTAGACTTAGGAAAATATGGATCTCACTTATCACACTTCAGTACAGTATCTTTTAGGATTCCATGTAGAAACCTATCACTGAGCCTGAAGAAAATGGAGATTAGATAAGAGATGTGAGATACTGAAAGAGTATATCCCAACAGTGTCCAACATCAAAGTTCAACCTCATGTTTCAGACCTGAATTTGTCTGAGCTCTCCAAGAGCACAATATATTTAGGTGTGGGGTGTCATACTGGACACCCATTGTGATTTCAGTCTTTGTTTTGAAGAACACAGAATTGTAGTCTGTTCTATTGTGTCTGTCCACCCAGTTGTGCTATATAATTAGAAGTAAATCAAACTTCGTTTTACAAGGTATCACAGACATAGTATTTCTATTAGAAAACTGTTCCAGTATCTCATTGCTGTGACAACAAAAGTGTTCTGCTAGTTTCCAGCCTAAATTCATTCCGTATCTTTGTAGTTGTTCTACAGCCAACCTTCCTCCCTCCTTCCCCCTCCCCACTGCTTAATCGATTCCTTTCCCTTGCCCATGTGTGCAGATAGCAATGCTCTTCTGCTTCTCCTAAGCCAAACAACATTTTTCTGTTTCTTTGCAGATAGATGTGGGCACTCCCTGCTTGTACTGTATGTTCACAGAAGACAGGTCAGTTCTGAGTCAGAAGCTGTGTACCTGTGTTTGTGCAGCCTGGTACTTTAGCTAAGGAAGCAGCATAGTGCTGATGTGACTATACAGCTTTTGGATCAGGGCTGGCTTGGATCACACCCTTCATCTGTCTGCAAAAGACAGGTGAATATGCTTAGTTTGCAGTGTGAATTCTTCTGGTCAAAGATATTGGCTTACATGCATTTCTCATGGCAGTTTTGCAGAGATTAGCATTTTCCTCACCTCCTTAGTATGATGTAATGATTAGAGGATTAAAGTTGGTGTTTTCTGCTTTTTTGTGTGTGTGAAGGGGGAGGGGTGGGAAATGTCACTATTTAAAGATATGCAATATGCTTTGCTTATTGCAGAGAGTAGGGTGCAGATACAAACAGATACAAACAAGCTAAGCACCTCAACAGAAGGGTAGACTCCTGGAAACAGACTAGTAGAAATATTTTCAAATAGCTCCTCCTTCTATAGCCTAAAATATGTATCAATTTTAATTCTTTACTTTGCACAATCTTTTTTCTTTCTTTCATGTCAAAAGTGGCACTATTGAAATAATAAACAGGCTTGCTATGTGTTTAGAAGGCAAATGTTTCAAACAAATCTTATTGTCTTTTGAGATTTCAGTACATCCTCGGGCATTATCATGGTTAACTGGAAATCATCTGCAAAGATAAATTAAATGGGTTTAGTAGCTTAGCATGTGAATGTCTTAAAGCTAAGTAATGTGAAATATTGAGACAGATATGTCAATAAAGAACAACTTCCTTCGGATTTTTCTGTAAGTCTGGGGGTGAACCTGGTTCTAGAGGTGTAGCTGGGTGTGCTGGTACAGAAAACTGATTGTAACTGACTTGCACAGAACAATGAACCACTGCTCAAAGATGATATCAGGGTTAACATTGTGCTTTCATGTCGATGATCTCAAAAGTGACATCTCCCTAGCTGACAGAATGGATGACTGCATTGCACCAAATGTGGCATCTGCCCTTACAGCTGTGATTTCAGACTGATGTGACAGCCTTCACGGGTCCTGGCTGTTGTGCTGTGTGCAGTTATCACCTGACTGAGGGAACTATTTTTTATTAATGTCATTTGATTACCTGATAGCCTCGAGATAGAATATGAAAAAAGAGAGACCTTAGAACTGGCGTGTTTCCTTTCATTGTGGGGGTGGCTCTAGAAGAATCTTTTAAGGAAAAGTGTCTTTGTTAAACTAATGATGGAAAAAAAAAATAAATCTTACAAAGTATTCTCCTTTGGAAAATCTGCAAAGAGGATGTATGATACTGTACAAGGAAGATGTGAAAAATTCAATATGGATGAGGTGTGGTTTAAAATTTATCTTCAGTAGTCCATTGCAAATTCTGTCATTGGTTGTGCAAATGTGAATTGCCCAACTGATTTGCTAAGTTCAGACATGGAAGTTTACTCAGACTTCAGAAGAAATATAGTGATGCAAGCAGTGTAAATATCTACTAAGACACAAATCTAGATTAAAGTTATTTAAAATACATATTTATCTCATGTTTAGTCCTGATCTAATACTAACACAATGACAGAGATGTTTTCTTCTGAAGACAAAAAAAGTGTTTCCCAGTGCAGTTTATCTTGTTCCACCTGAAGTTCTTACTCTGTACATTTTTAAACCTCATTACTGCTTCTGAAGATTTCTGTTGCGGTGAAACAAATTCATTGTTTACTGCCTTATGTGATCTACTACTTGAGTCAGTGGTGAATGGCAGAGTGAGCTAATGACAGAATCGGATACTTTATTCCAGCACTTCCGAAGATGAATTTTCAGAGTGTGAGAGAAAGGAAATGAAGAACACAATGAAAGAGAATGAAACTTCAGTTACTTAACTGAATTTAACTGTACCGTACCCACTTGAAAATATCACAGAAGGCAACTGGACTGAAGTGATTGGATATAAAACTGGAAAAAAAAAATTAGTAATTACATATATTTACACGGTTATGAGAAATGCTTTTTTTCTCTCATGGCATAGCTATATAAGCAATGAATATATAGGTGTTATAATTAAGAAATACACAAGAGTTTGGCTAAGCAGGTTATTACACCAAAAGGAATAGATAAAGGACTTATCTTTGTCCTAGGCTTGCTGGAAAACTCCTAATGGAGGGATCTCCAGAAGGAGATCCTTCCCCCCAGGGTCTGGGAGAGGCGGAGCCAAGCTCCACCCCTTCCAGCAGCACAGGTGAATTGCCTTCACCTGTGCTCCCAGGGCTGATTCATTGCTTGCCTCAGGTGATCAATCAGAGATTCAGGCCACAATTTAGCAGTTCCCACACTCATGGCATAAGCTTATTTGTAGAGGGTATAAAAAAAAAATAACCTTGCCTTTGTAATAATGCACACTTGGTGGTTTTATGAAGAGATTAAGTTATTTACAACTAGGAGAGGCAGGTAAGAAGACCTCCAGTGTGTTTTGGTGTAGTAATTCCTGTGGGTATAATAAAGGTATTGATATTCTTTCTGTGTAGTCTGTGCACCATACGTGGGCAAACGCTTTCATAATGAGCCCCACTTCTGTAATAAGCCCTGCACCATGACGTAAGGGTGTGGCTTGCTGCTGTAACAAGTTATTTACATAGATTATTGGTGGCCTGTTGTTTTTGTTTTTTTTTTTCTCTTTTCCTTCAGGGTTTTGTTTAGGAGTGGGAATGGTTTTAGTAAAATAAAAAATAAAAAATAACCCACTTAGGAACTTAATCATATTATCCATGTCCACTAATGACTACAGCAACTCTAATGAGTTAGACTGTAAGCTGAAAAGGAAGTGGAGTTTGAAACGCGTAAGTCAGATGTTACTGGCTAATTATGCTAGGAAGCGTTCATATTTCTGATAGGCACTTTTGATTAGAGTTCTGAACTACTTTTCCCTTGAAGATAAACAAGACAGGGAACATCCTGTGAAGATATCCTGGAGCACAAGTCTTATGAGGAGTGGCTGAGAGAGCTGGGATTGTTTAGTCTGGAGAAGAGGAGGCTCAGGGAAGACCTCATTGCATTCTACAACTTCCTGAAGGGAGGTTGTGTGAAGAGGGATTTGGCCTCTTTTCCCAGGCACCGAACAGGACCTGGGGAAGTGGTTGCAAATTGTACCAGAGGAGGTTTAGGTTGGACATGAGGAAAAACTTTTTCTCTCAGAGAGTGGTCAGGCACTGGAATGGCTGCCCAGGGAGGTGGTGGAGTTGCCATCCCTGGCAGTGTTCAAGAGGCATCTGGATGAGGAGCTGCAAGATGTGGTTTAGTGCTTGTGGTGTAGCAGTGGTAATGAGAAGATGATTGGACTAGGTGATCTTATAGGTTGTTTTCAACCTCATGATTCTGTGATTCTATGTGAGTGATGTTCTATTGTATGTAAATGACAATTTCCTTCTATGATTCTATATTTCAGTTTCAGTGTAGGAAACAAACTGAGCTGGGAATGGTGCAGAACTTTGCAGCTGTTCTGTAGATATGTTGCTTCGAGAACTCAGCTGAGACATTTACAGGGAGTAGGGACCTCTCTGGACTTAGATCTGAATATTTGCAGATGGGAAATGCAAAAAATTTCATGATCTGTGTGAAGTGAGAGAGTCTTGCCATCGAGATTATCCCTGTTTGAATTTTGTGCAAGTCTTAGTTTAGCAGGATACATCTGTTTAGGTGAACTCCAGGTGATGGTGGTGGTAAAGGGATCCTTTAATCATTACATGACCAAAAATTGCATATTAATTGCTGGTAGCTGCAAGGCTTCTCTGCTTTTCCTGCCCACTTCCTGTTCTCCTAATATATTCATCACTGTGTATAAAGTGCTGGGTATTTATCAGATGCAATGAAGTAGCTGGGTATTTATAAATGAATGATGTCAGACAAGCTTTAAAGAAAAAGAAAATGATTTGTTGTGGTTGTGAAGGGAGCCTGAGACGCTGTAAGCTACCTAAGGCAATGGGAGATGCTCCTTTACTTCAGCATTCAGTGTTTGGCCCTAACAGACTTGCTAAACTGTGCAAACTCAAATGTGTTTTAAGTGTTGCAATTAGCTCTATGACATTCACACACTCATGGGGAAGGCAACCAGCATTCCTTGACAGAAGTAAGGTGCCAGGGTAGCTGACAGCATGTCATGGCCTATTTAAACAGGCAACCTGTCTGTTATGCTGATTTATGCTCTTGTAGGTAAACAAATGATCTCTGATTTCACAGCACCTGCAGTATGCCAACAATGGTACAGAAGCCCTTTCAAAGGGTTTGGTCCTAAACACTTTCTTACCCTAAATTCTTATTTCCTCACATACAGACAGGCACTGAGGTGCCCTGCTGGCTTCATGTAACTAGTCCAAGTCTCCAAGTCTGGAGTTTGCTCATCCTGTAACTTTATGGTCAGCTTTGCCTGACATGCAGAAACAGTATTGAAAAGAGTTGTCCTATACTGATCTCCTTAGATACACCCCACCTCTACATTTGTCTGCCTCTTCTCCTCCAAATCTTTTCCCCATGTTGGCACTAGTGTTTTTGGCAGTAATGTTTCTGAACTTGCAGTGCGGGAGCAGGTTAGCTGATACTAAGCCAAGCAAAAACATGTAACTTTCAGCAGGTGCAGTTCTGAGTAGACTCACGTTAGCTTAAGCTGACTTTGAAGCTGCACTACTCACACTACTTTGCTGCTAGAAGTGGCTTCTCTGACCCCTTTTTGTCAACCATGTGATGCTTGCAGACATTCTCCATTCCCTCTGTCCCCATTCTCCATCCTCATTCTTTGTCCCCCAATCCCTGATTGCAAAGTTGTTTCATGATGCTTCCGCAGTTGTTACTTTTCAATGGCATATTTATATATAATTTTTACTTTAGTTAGCATAAAATATAAAAAACCTTATCAATTATTAGTTGCTTGGGAAATAAAATCTTTGGCTGACTAGCTTCAGTTGACCTCATGAACATTATTTGTATTTACCACCTTTCTTGCTGCTTCCAACCTCAGCTGTTCACACTGGGGAATTTCTTCCTCTGACAGTTACTGCTGCAAGAATGTTATTTATGGATCTCTTTTGGTGTTGGACTTCTTCTTCTCCAGTGCTTTGTATCTTTTGTCATTTATCTATGTATTGTGTCTTTATTCCATTTCAATATCTGTTTGGTTTAGTCATATATTCAGATCTTGTGTACAGAGGATACTAATATACTTGGAGCAGGTATTAAAAAGTAAATCTAAGCTGTTCTCATGGCCCTAATAAATTATTTTTGGAGCCTATACTTATTTGCATTGGATACTGTAAGGCACACACAAGGCTGATTTGTTGTCTTTTTCTTTGCAGCATGCTATTGATGCGGATAATGCAGGAGTCAGTCCCATAGGAAATTCCTCTAACAACAGCAGTCATTGGGACCTTGGAAGTGCCTTTTTCTTTGCTGGAACAGTCATCACAACAATAGGTATGTTTATGTTTATCTTTTAAAATACATAGTCAAGTTGAGAGCTGGATTACAAGTAAATTTGTGGAAGGTAGATCACAAAGAAGTGGCTAATCTGTATTTTGGTTCTCAGGAGGTGTGCCTTGTTGTGTCTCAAGGGCATTGGGCCTCTGGGTAAATAATCAGAAGCTGTTTCCATAATTAGGGTGGAAAAACAATGCTGAACTGAAAACAAGCATCACTGATGTAGCTGAGGGTTTATTATGCTGTTCTTAATGTTAGGGCAGGTGAACTCAATTATCATGAAAGATCAAGTATCAGTACTAGATGGAATAACTGTTATATGTTGTTGGCAATTTGAATTTTAATATTAAAAGTTAATTCACCCATGAGTAACTCTCTTTCATCGATTTTGATATATACTTTTAAATTTAGTACAAAATTTCTTTTTTTGGCACTACTACTTGTAACTGGAAATGTATCCACATAATTAACACATTATATCTTAAAAACCTTCCTTATTTTCATACCAGTAGTATGTTACTGGAAGGAATGTCACAAACTGTAGATTATGAAAAAAAAAAAAAAAAAAAAAAAAAAAAAAACCAAACAAAAAAAAAACGAAAAAGAAAAACCCAAACCAAACCATTCTGGAATTTGTGGCCGTGAAATATTTTTACTTTTTTTTTTTGTTATGTGAAGAGTGTTCTAATAAGCTTTTCTTGAACCACTGATTTTAGTAAATTTGTTATTCAGGCCCTTGTCATTTGTGTCTCCTGTATATTGTGTCCAATGTATTTAGTGTCTTCATCTCTGAATGCTTATGCTAGGTGTGCTAGGGTTTCTGTCCTGTCTTCTGTGAACAAGTTACTCAAAGATGAAGAAGTTGGATTTTTATTATTCTGTTCTGAAGGAAAATAAAATAACTGATATCACTAGTGGCAAAGTTAATCTCCTGATAATCATACATTGGCTTTATAATTTTAAGTTTGATTTCAGTGCTGTCTTGATTAGGAGTCAAGAGTTTGGAAATCATTGGAAAATTTTTTGGCTTTTTATTTGCGTTGCTTTTAAGTATTCTTCTCACTTAAATCACGAGAGTCTGATTTCTTCAAGTTCTTTACATGGCTAATACAACAAAATAACCTGGTGCATTTGCAAGACTTGCTGTGTTGCCCAAACAGTAGAGTCCTGGTGCCTTTAGATCAGTGGAGTCTTGTGCCTTTACTTTGTTGTCAGGATGAGGATGAAAGAGTGATTACATAAAGCATACTCCTTTGTGTGGTCCTCTATATGCTAAGCTACATTGCCATGTTTTTTTAATGGCAGCATTAAAAATAAAACCAGGCGGTGGAGATAAAGAAAACATTTCTGAATCAAATGTTTATAAAACCCTCCCTAAATATTTGTTTACTCAGTAGACCCAAGTGGCAAGCTTTTAAATTACTCATTGAAATAAATGCCACTTTTTAGGCAGTTTATGTAAGCATATTCTTTGGCATCTGCTATTAAAATAACTTACTGAAAAGAACTTGGATGTTTGCCCATATCTGCTTTAAGTTCTCCATGAATGAGATTTTTAAAGGCTGCATGAAGTCTACGTATTGTGTCTGGGCAAGAAAATGGTTTTATTTTACTCACCAGAGCCCTGCTAGTATCCCTGTTATGAAGACACTCAGTCGATTACTTGGTCATTCTCAGTCCACTAGTGAGTGAAGCCTGAATTTTCTCAGACTTTTAGGAGAAATCTGGGATCTCGGATGCAGCTATGAAAAGGACTGTGGTTTGGAGCATAGATAGTGTTGTGAGTCAGCATAGTCCTTTCTCCATCATGTGAGACGGATTTGTCCAGTGTTCGTGTTACAGAATGCTGGTTATCACAATCATGTTGTCTCTGGATCACCTTCAGATCAAACCATCTCTGGTGTAAATTAAGTAGGACTGTAGTATATATTCCTCATATTCCTGTTCCTAAATACATTCTGCTACCTTCCCATGTGTTGCAAAATCTGAAAAATTCTTTCCTGTGGCTTTAAGAGGCAGTACAAGTGTGTTTTCTTTCCACTCATCAGAGTGGTGAGGGGAGAGGAAATTATGAGCTAACCACTGAAAATGAGTCTTGTCGGGTGAATTGCACTCCTGTCAGGAAATAATTGACAAAGCCTGAGAGGAGAAGCAGTGTGCAGGCACCACGCCAACACTGCATGATCTTTGTGCCATGATAAGTCAAGCTAGATTAGTTAATCACAAAACAACTTTAAATAGGACCTAAATTTATAGAAGAAATGGGTAACTGAGTATACAAATGAAGAACTAAATCTCTATGGATAGCTTGCCTGGGAAGTGACGTCATTCCATGGAAAATCTGTAAATAGAAATCACATGTGGAACAAAGGCATCTCTGCAGTAACAGCCCATTAGTTTTTCTAAAAAGCCCCATGTAAGTTTGAAGTTTCCAACAACTATTTTTCTCTACAGGGTATGGAAACATTGCCCCAAGCACAGTTGGAGGCAAGGTATTCTGCATCTTGTATGCCATCTTTGGCATTCCTCTGTTTGGCTTCTTGCTGGCTGGAATTGGAGACCAACTTGGAACAATCTTTGGGAAGAGTATCGCAAGGGTGGAAAAGGTTTTCAGAGTAAGCTCTATCAGTTTTTTGCTTCCATTGTGTAACTTGCTTTTAATTCTGTCGCTGTTACCTGCAGTCCTTTTTACATATTGGGCACCTTGAAGGATTTACATTGCGAGCTGAGAAGATAATCTCCTTAAAAGCCTTTGTAGTCAGTTGAAAGAAATTGACTTCTCTAGATGGTGATGCAGGAGTAGGCTCTGTATTTCCTTTCTGAGGACCCATCATCTTTTCAGTGACTATAGACTATCTCTGGAGAATATATCTACTAAAATAGTTTCTTTACAAGGACTAGTTTAAAACAGCCTTCCAAACATCACAGGTTATTTTTGACAAGTATGTCTGATCGCTGAACATAGAAGTTAGTATAATATTAGGTGAAAGAGGGATGCTGAGTAGGTCCTGACTGTATTATATAGTAAACTTAAAGGACTTGGAAATCGGGGTTACTGGAGTAAATACAAACTTGGAAAGAGAAATACCTGACTGATACACTTTCGCTGTGAGAGACCGATGCCCTGGAGTAGATTTGCTGGTAAAAGAACTGGTACAATACCTGTACGTCGAATTGTTTTCATTGTGTTTACCCACTCTATGTACCTTATGCACATAGACTTCTGCATGGATTTTCCAGATTTGAATAGGTCATATAATTTCCCTTCTTCTAACTGCTACCATCTATTTTTTGGGTCTATATCACCAAGAGCAATTCTTTTGCAAGCACTGCTGCAGGCCTGGCAAATGATAATTTGCTAATTTGCCGATGATTCACTTCAGGGATTGTCTTTTTGAAGCATAACTTCTAGAAGTGACCTGTGGTTCCTTTGGAAGCAGCGTAACTGGAGGTAAGTCTTTCCAGGGATGGAGAAGATGAAAAGCTGTCCAAACTGGTTAGCGTAATAGGCATCTATTTCTAAAACATTCCCACAGATGAGAGCAAATTACTTGTAGCTGTATTTTAAAGGAAATAATTGAGTATTAAACTGGAGTATGAGCAATTTCCTTTTTAATTAACTTACTGTGAAGTGTCCCAGACTAGCCATAAGGAGTGTCTCTCAGACTAAATGTGGAAAAAGGTGGCTGGTTGATTACGGGTGAGTAAGCATTTACATGCCTGACTGAGCACTTGAAAATGGCCTACATTTTTATGAACTAAAAATAAGGTTATTGAAAGGTGACTGGCTGGTTCTGCAAAAACAAAAGTAGCCAAGATCATTACTTTCTTTTCAGGCTAGCTTCTTGTTACTGTACCTACTTTACCTGAAAGGAATCTCGGAACCTTCCAGACTGCTTCTGCTTCCCCAAAAGTACAGTAGTTATAGTGTGAGTCAGAAAGTCTTTGATTAATTCTCAACTGTACTACTGGCTTTCTAGGTGACTTGGACAAAACCATTAAACTGTCAGCATGATAGTTTACAAATAAAAATAATACATGTCCTATTTGAAGTATTTTGAGATTCATAGATGAATGCTGATACTAATAATTAATACAGAATATTGCTCTTCAGCACATAATGGGAGTTCTTTTAGTATTCAAAGTACTCCTTTCTTTCCTTGATTTAATGCAGTTACTTGTTTTTTATAATCATCCAAACTATTCCTTTTCCTCCTTGGTATTTTGAGAGCCTCCAAAGCAATGTATATATCCCCAAGATATGTTTACTCCTTACATATATGCATATATATATAAAAATATATGCGTAATATATACTTTATTATTAGCTACTGCAAATTATAATAATCATTATAATGATAATAGCTATATAAATTATTAATATGTTTTGTTTGCATAATCGGAAACCATGTATGTTTGAAACTAATCAGACAATCCAGAAGTGAAGCAACCGTTCTTGATTTAATTATGAGCAGTGAGCAAAACTTAGCTCTGCATGTAGTTTTTGTTATTCAATGTATAAGACTTCTTACTTTGTCTCCATGAGGAACTCAAATTCAACATATTTGTGGGCATAAAGCAACCCACTACAACTAGAGAAGACACAAAAATTTGCAGAATACTTGTAATGAGACTGAAAGGTACAAATGTAGGCTAAGAAGACACAAGAGCTAAGAAAATATTGAGTGGTGTGCCTCAAATCCTTTGGAGGCTCACTGACTATGTATCAGTATCTATTGATATTATATACTGCATTTCTAAAAGCTTTTGAGAAGTTTTCTCATCAAAGGGTATAAGAAAATCAAGCTGTGGTAAGGAAAGAGAGAAGATCTCACACATCAGTAACTGTCTGAAGGAGAAATGGAGATTAGGAGTAGGGCATCGGTGTGAATCAGCTGGAGTCCTGTTGGAATCTTACAGTTTTGACAGGAACGGTCTGGAGTGACTCAGACAAGAAGATGAATATGCAGATGACAGAATCTACAGATGATAGAGTCTGCAAATTGCATCTCTAGATATTTCAGAATAGCTAAAACGAAAGGTGCAAAATGATGATGATAAATGAAATCTAGTGTTAGCAATACAAAATAATGCTGAGTTCTTTAGTTTGAGGAAAGAAATTCTAATATATTTAGTCAGAGATGACAATTGTGTTTCACTACTCCTAGAGGGACTTGGGATTACTTTTTTTACTATTGTGGTTGGTTCTTTGAAGACAACTGCAAAACCTATTGGGGGTTAAGAAGTGTAAGAGTGTCAGCAAAGGGGCTGAGAACCAGATGGAAAAGATCCTTCTGTATCTGCACAAATCTATGGTGCAATTGCACGGTGAGCCCCCCATTCAGTTCTAATAACCCAATTTCTAAAACAATTAAGAGAAATTAAAAACAGTACTACGGTCTGCACCTGCAGGCCTTGTAGCTGAATCTCTAAGGCTGCATTCACTACTTACCCATATTATTTGCCCATTCTAATAGGTTCTTGCCTCTCTAGAAGATCATGGGCAATTTGGGACAGTCCAGCTTGTACATTTGAGGAAGGAACTTCATAAGGTCTTATCAAATAGGCACTACAGCCAGAGTGTTGAGAGAATATTTCAGCACAGGAGCTGGACACATGCCACTGCATGTTTTGATTATAAAAGTAATGTTGCCACTATTTCAGTGTGTAGATAACCAGAAAAATAACTATTTACTTCTCTGTGATTAAGGAGGGTTGGAAGTACTTCACTGCAAAACAGTGCTTTGGGAAAACAGGAACTTTCACATATCTTTTTAGGAAAGGGATGCACTGTATTGGACTTCAGAGAGGAATCCTGAACATCACACATTGGCTAATGTATGCTGTCTCTCCTATTGTAATAATGCTGCTTCATAAAAGTAAATAAGCATCAACCAGGTCACAGACATAAACCAAAGTATCCCCTGGACAAACTCTCCCTGTTCAGCTACTGATTACTCTGATATAGGAGTTAGAAATGATGATCTTTTTTGTGTCCCTTCCAACTTGGGGTATTCTATGATTCTATCTTCAATAACCTGGACAGAAACTATCTTCAAATCTGTTCTCACTTAGACACAAATGTGATGGTTAAAGAAATGTATGTACAGGGTCATTAAATGCACTACATATTCATGAATCATTCAATATCTGGGCTTGGTGCTGAACTGTGTTCCAAGCTCATCTGAGAAAATCAAGTAAAAACTCAACATTTAATTGAAAAATTGATATTTTTTGTAATCATTTTCAGCTAGCATTGACAATATAGAAATTAAATATACGTTGAAAGGTGGCATAAAACCATAAAAATAGTGCTGTTACCTTGCATGTGGGGGGGATCTTATGAATGACCAGAGGCTGTTTCTATAATAAATAGCAGAACAAACTCCATTCTTTTAGATTGTTCTATACACACAGAGGTTGAAAGCATCTAAAGATAGAAAGGGTAGCGCTCCAGAGTACACAGCTACAGAATGCTTTGTTGTTATCCTGAGTTAAATATAGGCTGGATTCAGATAGTCTTTATTCAGACTTTGTAACAAGTCTTTAGTTCTTAACTGGAGGTAGATCGGATGACCATAACCAGACAGATCTTCCCTCAGTTTGCAGTGCGGTACAGATGCAGACATTGAGTGTGGGCACATCATGCTCCTGAGAGGACGTCAGGATTTTCTAGCATGTAAAGTAAAACTGCTGGGAGCATTTCCTAGTCTTGACTCCTTTCACTGCTCTAGCTTACTGCAGCGGTGCTGAGGACAAGCCAGGCAGTACAGCAGGTAGGGCATGGATGACCGTACAGGAATGGAAGTAAGCAGTCAGAAACATGGTTGGTGGCAAGACTTCTCTACTGAAGCTTGTGCATCTAGAAAGTACAGTACTTTGTGTAGAAATACAGTGTGTCTGTAAACAAACCATAATTCACTGAATGAGAATTATCAGAACAGGTACATCTGATGCCTGTCTTTCCAGTGTTAAGCTTAAAGAACTTGTTTGCCTGTTGATCTCTTGAGAAATGATGTGCTCCGGATATGAAAGACCTGTGTTACGGAAATTACATGCATTTCCCCCCTTCCCCCAAAAAACAAACCAGCAATGGGCTTTATCTAAACCTGGAAAAAGATACAGGGAAAAGCAGTTGTTGTTGGAAGTTGGGATGGAAGTGGGGCAGAAGTAGAAATCCCACTGAGCCACTGAGAAGCTTTCTTTAAGCAAATTCTAAAGCTTTAACTTCCTAAACACTGTTGTTTGCCTTTCTGGATAGATTAGATCTATCCTAGCTATTCTTTCTCTTAGAGAATAAAATTCTTTTTAGTGATTTTTGGCTGCTTTATTCTCTTTTGTTATTGTACCGGTGACAGGATTTATCTTTATGAATTCCTTGTCTAAAAATGAGTGCAACAACTCAAGGGAAAGAAACTTTGTAGAGGAGAGTAACTGGTCCAATGAAGCTGTAAGAGATTTCTGCTTCTCTACCAGGTTAATGCCATAATTCAGAAACCCCATCTGCTCCCTGCAAGGCATCCATCACTCTGTACTCTGTATCTTGCAGACCCATACCAGCATTAGTTCTTATTTTCTTAGCAGATATGTTAAGCTTTTAGATGATAATGTTCTC